TTGACTGGGAAGCAAACGACTTTGAATATGCCTCCGCCAGCTAACAACGGAGAGTCGAATTCAACTTCGAGTTCAAATCCCTATCGCAGATCAGGCGGAGGACACGGTTTCAAGAAATTCGACAGTTTAGACTCACTAGGTAGACTTGAAAGAACCAGTGTTCGTCGTCAGCTGGAACCTGAACAGGATGAAATTTCGAATCCGTCCTCATCATTCGACAGCAAGAGTTCGAGTCACTATTTCGGTATGAGCCTACGGCCGGGTTGTGTTCGAGGTTCAAGATCAAGTTCGGACTGTGGACAAGATCAGAGTCTGCAATCGGATTGTGATCCAAGCCTGAGCTTGCTCACGGATTGTGACCAAGGTCAGAACTTACTGGTGGATTGCAGTCACACTTTGGATATATGCTTGGACTATGGTCAGAGTTTGAGTTTAAACTGGAGTTCAAGCGCAAAGCAGACTACTGCAGAACTTGATGACACTGATTCGGTAGTTGCAGCTGAGCGAATGCGGGTTTCCAGGCAACTGGAACATTTCACTGTAGGCTGGTTGGCCGAAACCCCTAATCCTATCCTATTATCTGACGCAAAATCAGATGTCCAGCAAAATTTGTGCTCAGACACGAAAGCAGGTGCGGATCAAGGCGTCATGAAATTTAATTTGACTGATGTGGCTTTTGGATCTGATACCACCTATGTTACAGCCAGGACGGCAGTTTCTTTTACAAGCTTCGATTTTTGTCCTAATTACTGGGATTTAAGAGGGTCAAAACCACGAAAAATATTACGAACCGGTCCGGGCTCTGTATTTGATCAGCTCACAGAACAGCAATCACCTGCTACGATGAAAGGTGTGCACCCGATAAGTAACCTGTTCGAAGCTGCTGCTTCTCACACCGCGGCACTGCCACAGCATATTAAATTGTTTCAGAGTTGCGCCACGGAGCTACATGAAACCGATCATGTAAAACTGCCCCGAAGTGATTTTCCAGCTAGAAATTTTGCATCGCTTTTTTCCACTCAGTCGGGGTCTAGATCTGTTCCAGATTCACCACGAAATTCAGGCGGTGATGAATATGGACTGGGTACACTTTTCTCACGAACATCCGCCGATGATGAATCTGGATCAGATCCATTTTCCTCGCAAAGCTTTGCCGGAGATAAATCTGAAGCAGGGATAAGCGCTCAGCAAAGCCTTATCGATGACAAAATTGCATCAAACTTACTTCTCGGTGGCTTATCTGGCTGTAGTTTTCAGTCAAAGTTGCCCGGAAACAAAGTACTAGGAAAACTTGAACGCGAGCTTCTAATTTCTCCAGGTTTGGAACACGTGGGAATTTGTAGAACTGACTTAACTGGATCACAGTGGTTTCAGATCCGAAATTCAACAGCTTCTCAACTGGTTTCTCCTCCAACCACATTTTCGGGCAATTTTACCGTGGATGCATCTCAGTTCTCGGACAGAGTCGGCCATCGAGAGTCGACGTCAACAAGCAGCAAAGCGACTCGTTTTAAAGGGTTCTCTTGTGGAGTATGCAGCCAGGAATTCAAATTCAAAATCTTCGGCTACTTCAGAAAGCATCTTGAGAGTCACAACAAGAGAAGAGAATATCGTTGTAACTGGTTTCTTTGTGGTATTACAGTAGACAATCGCCATATGCTTGAACGCCATTACCTGGAGCACTTGCTGGAGCAAAACTTACACAGATGTGCAGAATGTGGCAGAATTTTCGACTCCGCTCCTCTTTTAAATGCACATATAAATGCAGTGCATCTGGCAAAAAAAGGTCAGTTTTGTTTACGAAAATCTGAAGCGTTTTACATTTTCCACAGCTTGTTGACAACAATAATAATCTGCGGAAGGAACAGGAGGAAGAGTGGTACTTCTTTTCAAAAAAATATATGTTACTCCTCCACTTACTAGAGCTCGCAGCACAGCATTCATTTCTACGTTATCGGATTAAAAAAACATCCGCACTGGAAAAGGCGGTTAGTGTTAAATAGGATAAATTAGCAGCGCGCTCTAGGACAGCTAGTGCGATCATGCGTTTTGTGCAGTTCTGTCCAGCGGACATATGCTGTTAAAAATTTTCACAGCTTTACTGTTTGTATGAAATTCGCGGAATGTTCAGTCCAGCCAAAGCTTCAATGTATCCGTATGTGAGACACACGAAGGCTCTCCTCCTGAAAATTCAGCTTTCTGCTCTGACAGGTTCTAGAATAGGAAACATCCTCATGAAATTTTAGCCTTCTAACTTCTGTGATTCCAAAGTTAGCATTTGTCCGTGCGTGAGATTTAGGCTTGATTAGAAGCTGAACTAAAAATTTCTGCATCATACGTGGACAAGGAACACCTTACTTCCCAGAAGCTTGTGTATTTCTTGAGTTAGCGATTTTTCTGCCAAAACTTTCATGTGAGTGTACTTGAGGCCTCGCCGTACGCGAAAACTTAGGGTATATACCCTTAAACTTTCAAATTTTTTGGTTTTTGTGTCAGAAACTCGAACAAAATGCACTTGAGCCACATAAACGCAAATTTGCACACATGCACCCATACGCACTTACGGACACAAAAACATACGCACTCAGAATATTACAATATGAGCTTTGTGCACCTGTTACGGCATAAAACGCATGAAAATAAAGCCCAAAATCGAAGAGGCTTGTATAGCTACGTTTAACAAGTGGGAGTATACCAGTAATATCACTTAACCTGGGATATCACGCCGACACCGATTGTCCGACGGTCTTGGTGATCATGTTGGCGATTTTACCCATTGTGCCACTGAGATCAATATGCTAAGCATAGTCAAGATACGCCTCTTATTTGGTTCGCCTCATCTCTTCACGAACTGTCCCTCTGAAGTGATAATGACTTTCCTAGCAGTTATAAAAGTACCCTCCTTGTCACTGATACCCGCAAAAATCCAACACGTACTGAAAAAGTAGTTTATGGGAGATGAAAATGCTCAGCGATAATAGGGACCGGTTCTGTAGTGATTTAGCACATTACGTTTTAACGTGTGGTTCCATTCCTTCTCAGTCAAAGCTTATTTTTAAAACTTTTGGCTTTTATGCGTCTTGTGCTGCGACAGTTTCACAAAACGCTTATTGTCGAGATCCTGTCTGCGTATGCATGTGTTTGTTTTGAGTGCCATCACAATGTATTACTTTAACTTTTCAAACTCGTTATCAGCTATTGATAATGAAATTCGTTTTCTAAAGTACATAACTCCAGATAACTTTCGGTGCACCGTTGTTGGATGTAAGCGGATCTGCAAGAATCTGTCCGGACTAATGGCCCATATCAGAACACAACACATTACGAGGGCACTCAGCTTCTCAAAATGAAAATGAATGTTTGCTTACAATTTTGAGTGTCATAAACACCAGTGTGAATAAAAATTTGAAGATTTGACTTTTTGAGTAAGCGTATGGATCAAAAAGCCATCAATGGCCTTGCCATTATTTTTGTTGCTATTAACATGTGCTATCATTCGTGTTACCTTTGAATGCCTATGCCTTTCGCAGCGAGTGAATATATGAAAGAATTTTTCTTCCTTGGTTCTTTAGAGAATGGAAAAATCAAAAGGCTCTTCATCTTAAAATTGCATATTGACATTAAAAAATTTTCAAAGCATTTGTAGAATGAAACAAATTTTTCTTTTTATTAAAAAACCGAAATTCAAAGAATTAATTCACAAATTCAGTTGGATCATCCAGAATGATGAGCACTGTACTTGAAATAGCATGCGCTTCAGTAGCAACTTCAGGCAATCGTAGTAGTTGCGGGATCTGGGAAATGCAGATTAGGCGGAGGTCCAACTGATTCACTCCGTGAAATTCTGTCCGGAAGTAGTGGCACACTAGCAACACGAAAATACAGGCTAAAATCAACACAGTTTTTCAAAGCTACTTCTCATCTAGATGCTTTTTCATCATATAAAGCTTAATCGGATACTTGTCCGGCTTAACTCAAGCAGACGTTGTTCAATATAGCTATATGACGCAGTAGGGAGTAGCGCTGTTCTCATGCAGAAGCTTGAGGGTTCAACTCCCTCCTCCACAGGCCAGCCAGTCCCTCTACGATTCGTTTATTCGTTTCGGCGGTAAATTGGTACTAACACACTTTAATGTGATCAAGCTTGCCATCAGCCTGCTTCTACGCAACTGCTGAAACGAGAGAATCATACCAACAGCCTTGCCCACTTGTGTGGTTGCCGCCCTTGAAATATTCCAAGTGTCTCTGTTCCTCAAAAAGTTAATGGGGAGGGGATTTTGTCTCTTATTTTTGGTGTGCTCATTCTATTACTGTAACTATTATTCTAAAATTCTAATTTTATCTGCATTTTCCTATACAAGGTGTTTTAGAAATTTTGGAAATATGAACAGTAAATATCCTTGACTGGGAGATTGAAACAGGACGGAGGGCCTGAAATCCTCTATGATTTAACATATGCAGTTTGTTTGGCGTTGCTGGTCCACCGTGGAGAGAAACGCAGTCGAATTATGAAAATTAATGAAAACACTGGAATCAAGGCATTGTATAGGATTCAAAACTTATTTTCAAGTTTCCGTCTCTCATTGAGGGCGAATACGAGAAAGCCCTTGACGATTAAATTGCTAGTGTAATACACACGATAATAGAAAAGCATACGAATCATTGTATTTGTTCGTGATCGTTTGCAAAGCTGGAAGAAGCTTCGAACGCATCCACAGCATGTGATTCAGACACCACATAAGCGGCTCCACACTGCCCACTTTGTAGCCCGTATATTTGACCAATTTGCTTGACTAAAAGTGGTTTTAATCTGTCGGTGGTGGACAGCGGCAGTATGTTGAAGCGATGAGGTGTTAAGCGCAATCGGAGACAAATAGCCAAAGGCTGCGGAAAGGATTTAGCATGGCTGCTTTTCCCCTACTAGTGCATTTTTGGAACACCAAGCATTTAAACTGATATATTCTACAAGGTATGCAGCTCAGACTCGAAGGGCGTGGCATAGCTGCGCTCGGTATGTGTGGGAGCATCCCAGTAACATCACTAACATGCCTCTTCGAGGGACGGGACTCCAGCAAGATGACTACCGGGAAATGAACCAGTGGTCAAAGGAACTGTAAAAATTTATAGCTACATAGTTGGGGAATCACGCAATGAAAAGCAGTTGATCAAAGTACACATTGTTTTCTTGATTTTGCATCTTTTAAAAATGAATAGTGCGGTACCCAATGGCCAGCTCGGATCATTCGCATAGCAAGAAGCAAGGCAGCGGCTGCCATCATACTGTCTGGAACGCTGATGAATTCGTAGAAGAGAAGCGATGTTTCCAGGATATAACGGGCTAGCGTCAGTGTCCGCATATCTTTTTCGGCAACTCGTGCAAATCGTCGCAAGAATCGATATGAAAGCGGGCAATCGAAGTCACCGTGAAACGCTTCAATCATTTTACGCTCGTACTTGCATTTCTCGCTTCCAAGCACACCGCGAAAACTATCTGTTGGAAGCGAATCCTGCTGCTGAAAGTTGAAAAAAAAAAACATTAAAGGAGTTTGCGAAAGCCCTTCAACCACTCTGTGAACTCATTTTCCGGCCGTACCTCGTAGAACTATACGCAAGGAGCACCGAAGAGTCAAATTGCTCTGAACAAGCTTCTCAGAGAGTCCGCCGGCGAAGATGTTTTTTGGGACTTTAGATCGCCTGCAGAAAAGTTTTTAACAGTCGGCGTTTGAGAAATGAAAGTACGAATAACGGTCGATCAAAAAAGCTCAGAAAAAACAAAGGAAAGTTGACCGAAAATATTTTGCACTTTGCGACGCAGCAGAACTTGGCTGGTACTTTAAAAATCCGATAGATTCCAACAAAACAAATTGGTATTAATTAAATGGCAAAAATGAGTAAGATAAGATGAAGAAATTCCTCATTTGCATTCAGCTCTTTTCACTCTGCTTTTCCCACATTCTTCAATTTCTATTTTCCCCTGCCCCTTTTCCAATGAACATCTCAATCATCGTACTAACTAGGCCCAGTTGTGGTACTGAAAAGGAGTGTATACAACTTCATGAATCGAGATAATTTTCTCCAATTTATTTTTTCCCCCTTAAAAGTACTGTTCTTTTTCCTTAAGGGATTTTTCAATTGATTGTCTTCTCATTTTCTCCATTATTAACACTTTTTTGTAAAAAAAAATTTTTTTTTGAAATAAATCCAATATTTTCTGTGCTAGTAAGTCCATCTTCTTTGTAATGCTGCTAATCCGCCCATTGAAACGATGGAGCTGATTCTGCGCTTCAGGATTTGCGTCTTTTATATTTCACCTTGCTATTTATCGTTATTATTCAAATTGAACCATTCGGACGGAAATTCGGACAGATGGGCTAACAGCTGTAATCCATAGTCCAACTTTTTGCTGTACGAATGATATAAAAGTGCATATAAAAGAGAAATTTAATAAAAACCAACATCCATTTTGTTTGCAAGATTGATTGCTACTGCTGCGATGCATGCAAAATCCTTTACATCTGT